GCACTAGGAGGAGAAAGGGAATAGTAGAGAGGAAGAGCAGGAGTAGAACAGAACTTGGCAACAACAAATGCTAGTAAGTGGGGACTGTTTTAATTATGATACACAAAGACATACTGCTGTGTTTATATTGAGCCCTACTGTGAAAGGCATAATTCTTTGTGTGGGTGCCCAGCACATGCTCATAGTTCTTGCAGGCTACCAGATAGTATTTACTGAGTCCATGTCCTGCACACCTCAGTGAAAATTAGAATCCCAAAGAATTGCTGAAAAAGAAGAAAAAAAAGGGTATGCTTACATTTTTATATTAGGAGTCTTTAGGTATGTGGGTGGATTGGCACCTATAGGACTATGGGGGGGAGGGACAGAGCCCAAAAAGGAAGGCAGAAAGAGGAGAGTGAAAGTATCTGAGCAGTTAAGAGCTATTGGCTGTTCTTAGCCTTTTTAGACTGCTATCCCAGAATCTCAACAGGCACTTCAAAACTGAATCCCATCCATACTGTGTGCTTGCTTATGTGACTAACACTTAATGCAGAAGGCTTACAACTAAAAGAAAATAAACATACAGCTGTATATTACAGGGTATACTGCTAGAAGCAGATTAGCAAGGTATCAGTCACTTTCAAGTGAAAGCACTTCCAAGTGAAAGCTGTTAAAATTCAAATATTGTCAGATTCCACAAGTGTATAAAATGTACCATTTATATTCCCAGTATGCTACTAACTTTGCCCTGTGTTGTCTACATCTCAGACACTCTTGTGTGTAGAACCTTTATATAAAAATACTCTTTGATGTTGTGAGTTAGCCCTTGTAGGCAGCCAAGCCTCACCCAGCTGCTGGGTCATTCCCTGCCCCAGTGGGATGAGGGAGAGAATCTGAAGGGTAAAAACAAGAACTTGTGGGTTGAGATAAAGACAGTTTAATAGGTAAAGCAAAAGCTGTGTGTGCAAGCAAAGCAAGGAGTTCATTCGCTGCATTTCATCGGCAGGCAGGTGTTCAGCCATCTCCAGGATAGCAGGGCTCCATCATGTGTAATGGTTGCTTGGCAAGACAAACACTAACTCCGAATGTCAGTCCCTTCCTCCCCCTTTCTTCAACTTTTATTGCTGAGCAGAGTGTCGTACCATTTAGGATACCCCTTAGGTCCGTTGGGGTCAGTTGTCCCAGCTGCATTCCCTCCCAAATTCTTGTGCACCCCCAGCCTACTTGCTGGCAAGGCAGCATGAGAAACAGAAGAGGCTGTGGCACTGTGTAAGCACTGTTCAGCAATAGCTGAAATATTGGTGTGTTATCAACACTGTTTTGGTAACAAATCTAAAACACAGCACCCTGCAAGCTGCTATGAAGAATACTAACTCCATCCCAGACAATGCCAGTACTACCTAGTAATATAAAATCTGTGCTCTCAGAAACGTTCATCCAGCCTTCTCATAAGGATCAAAAGACCTAACAATTGCAATGACTTCCACTTTGCCTCAATCTTAATTTCATCTTTGTGGTATTTCATATGCAAATGAAGGTTACCCTCTCATGTTCTAACCAGCATTGTCAAGGTCTGATGTCTCAAAGGATTTGGCTAAAGGATTCCCTGTGTCTGTACAAAGATTACTCATTCAGTCTTCCATAGCTATCATTTATTATGGCATCCTCTTCTAATTTGTCTGTTTGGGTCTTGAACTTTTCTAGTCAGTAAGACACTGCATGTACCTTTACACTTACCTGGGAATAGCTGGGCAACAGATTAAGAGTGTCATTAGTTACATCACTGTATTTTACTGTAAGAGAATTGAATTTGCTTCTGTAGCACATGTGATGTTTCTACTTATGGTTAGTGATTTCATAAATTGTCATTGGTCTAAGTCCCATGGCACATATATAGTTTGTGTGGGTGAGTCACAGGATTTGAGATCTCTGTAGGAGAGGGTGGTCTTAACAGGTTTTAGAAGGTCGTCTCTCTAAGCACCTGTACACATGTACACAATGATTAAGAAGCATCATCTGCAGAACTGTTCCTGAGCCTTCTTCAGGTCCATTCATTTTACAAGTTGCACACAAGTATGAGCAAAATCTGTGAATCCTTTGGTCTGGTTTGATGCAGGCAACCTTCAACCCAGAAGCTGTGTAAACAAGTTGCAGTGATGGAGTGGATAAGCTACATATGCATTCCCTTAGGAAAGCAAAGTGTTAGTTTCCAGTCTCCATAGCAAATTACCTTCAGTTTCCTACTGTTCTGTCTCTGATTGCTACAGTTGTGTTAGGCTTCTGAAGCTATTTTATTGTCCACTGAACCAGTAAAATTCATCTTCCACCCATCTTGTTTGTCATACAAGTGGTATGAGATGATAATCTTCTATGTTGTTTCTACATGAATTTGCTTTGGAATGTTTTTTTTCTCCCATTTTAGCAGACTTTGGAAAGTTCTATGGGAATTCTTGGTTGCCTGCTTTTATTTTGGAATTCACTGAGAAAGCAAACCTGTTGCTAGACACTATTGTTGCTGCTTCTGTAATATTTCCTGCATTATTGCTCAGCCAATGTAATGGCAGAGCAGTATCCTTCACCTGTTGATTTTTCTTCTCTTAAAGAAAAATCCAGAAGGAAAGACACGTTAGGAATGCCTTGTCTGGAACAGTATTTCACTTAAGCCTTATTTGCTGTATTTTTAAGGTTCCTTCTCCTTTCCAGGAAATCATAGCGAATGTCTATATATTCATAACTTGTATTTTTTTTAACAATGTCTAAAAATCTTGTTTTCTACTCTGTCTAAATTCTTTGGCATTTGAGCCTCACACTGCAGATGTTCTTGCTTATAGTGATGGCCCTCAGGCACTAGATTTCCATTTAGTGTTTAAATTTTGAGTGATGTTATTCATATTTTGGAATTTGGCTATTCCATTATTGCTTGTTGTGTCTCTATCCTCTGGTTTCTTCTAAAGGTGCTTAATTTCTGCTTGTTTTGACATAAGGCAATGCAGGGAGGTAATTTTCCATACAACAGATTACACTTGTTTTGAGGAGGGTGTTACTCAGTAAATGTACTGCAGTTCATTTAACCTGTTTCTTCCACCTCTTCTGGAACATGTGACCTCTTCCTCAAAACTGATTACATTTTTCTGGGATTTTTTAGACTGTGCAACTTGTATCTTAGGTGTAGATTTTGTTTCTCACTTTTCCTGTTAGATACCAGCATGTCTTGTTACCATAGCTTGCATTTCTGCTACTAAGACTGTGGAATATCACTTGTGAGGATGATGTGGTAGAAGATACTTTCTTTAACTTCTGCCTTCTGGATGAACATTATTAATTCATTAGCATCTATATTGTTTGATTCATGGCTCTCTAATGTGAGTATCTAGTACAATGAATAGATATGCTGAGGATGACCTATGAGTAGTGTGACATGGTATGAGGTAGGTAATAATTTTCCTACCTTTTAGCTTAGTTTGAAAAGGATGGGGAAACACCGCAGTGTGGTTCTGATTCTATGGCCATCAGTCTAGGCACATTTCTCTGCCTGCTTATTTGTATTCAACAAATGGTTTCCTTTCTTCTTTGGAAATTTAGTGTTAATGGAAGTAGTGTTTTTCCTATTGCCATGTATTTGGAAAAAATATTTTTGCAGTGTCCTGATAAACACAGCAGGAAACTTCATACATATTCTTCATCTGCTTTTCTTTTAGTTGGAGCTGGGGCAGTGAACTGGTTCTGGAGCTCCTAGAAACACTTGAGGCCCTTCCTTTTGAGCAGCACTCTCAACTAACTGTTTGGGTTTTGTTTCTGATGTCCATTGAGATGTTTAATGAGCTCAGAGGCCATTGACTGTCTTTTAATTACCTCTGTTGTGAATTAAATAATTAAAATTTAATAATTTCATGCCAAAAAGTTGTTGTCAGTGCTAGTGACTAAGTCTTCGTCTCAGAATTGTTTTTTCTGGCTTACTTGTGTCTGGAATTTTACTTTTTAATTTGCACTGAAACATCAGCCTTCTGAGTGAAGTGACTTTCTTGTATAGAAGATACTATCTCTCATGAAGATAGGTCCATGTACCTTGCTCCTCTCTTCTTTATTTTGTCCTGTAACAAACTGTCATAGCTGTTAAACTTTTTTCCTTGGAAATATATTTCATCTTGCCATTTCTGTCGCCTGTGTCAAGCTCAACCAAAGTGACTTACTGTGCAGTAGTCTTTGCTTCTCTCTCCTGGTTTTCCCTATTTCTTTTGTTTGCATCTTACTCCTTTCAACTCATGTATATAAACAGTGAATTCTATTTTACTACTTCGTGTGGCTGATAGCCTGCTATTTGTGCACTTTCATCTCTGTGGTGTGTAGTTAGTAGTCATGACGTCTTATTGTGTGCCAGTGCCAGCAAGTATGTTGTTTCTGCTTGGATGTTTTGTGTGTTCTAGGTTTTTTCCCTCCTAAATGTTATTTTGATTTCCAGTATCAATAATAAATACATTAATTTTCCACATGTCTTGAATTTGGTCCCATTTAAAGTTCCATCCTTCAGAAGTCTTTTCTTACTATTTTTTCCTGGGCTACCTACCAATCAATTGTCTGACTAGAACCTGATTTTGTTCATGGAACATCACTGTTTGTATGGCTTGTTATTTTTTTAACTGTATTTTAACTATGTTTTGTTTTAAAACAGTAGGATATTTAAGATGAAGTTCTTTCTAATCTATCTGGATTTTTCCAGTTCCTGACAGAGAAATGGCCACTATTGTCTGTGTGACAGAGGAGTTGAAATTTTGTTCTTGGACAGCTTACATGGGTGGCCCTTATTCCAAATCTTCCAATTTCTAACATTTCTATATGTAGAAGGGCTGTTTCACTGAGGGAGTTGAAGGCATTTCTGCAGTCTCTTCTGCTTACACACATGCATCATGCTTTAATGGAGATTATAGGAAGTAGCTCTGTGGGATTGGCACACCTGAATATATTTGTACAGGAATAAATGTCTAATTCTAATTTAAGTGGGATCCTCCTCCTATCCAGTAAAAATGGACCGGAAGACATCTGTTTCTGGCTGGTAAAAGCAAGGTGGACACTTGTCACACTTGTCACACATGGACCTCTCTGTAGTTTCTGAGAGTCAGTCTCTGCTCCTGTGGAGACTACAGGCAGCACTGAAGAGCAGTCACAGGAAGGGTGCTGCAACTCCCTGAGCTAAGTTGCACTGTGTAAACTCCCAGCTGCAGCCTTGTTCAGCTCCCTGTACTACCCAGTGTTCTTCCTCAAGCTCTGAGGAAGCCCAGGCACTTGTCACATCTGCTGTCCCATGCGTCCTGACCAGAGCACCCTTCAAGAGACTAGGAATTTTCTTAAAATGGTCCCTAATGGTGTGTTCTATTTTTAATTTTTCCCTTCAGTGATCTGAAGAAGAAATACAACATAACCGCAATTCCTAAACTGGTGATTGTGAAACAAACTGGAGAAGTCATTACTGACAAGGGAAGAAAACAGATCAGAGACAAAGGGCTATCCTGTTTTCGGAACTGGCTTGAGAGTGCAGATATCTTTCAGAATTTTTCTAGTTAAAAAGTTGGCAGATGAAAGCAAGACAAGGCATCATGGAAGACTTTGCAGAGGTCTGAAAAGATTGTTGCCTTGTTCAGAAAAAGAAGGGTAAGGCTTATTTATCTTTGCGTGTAAACAAATTTTGTTTTCAACTTGAAAATTCGCTATTCCAGTAAGTCATAAAATGCAATTATTGTTTTATATATGTATTGTTCTATCTACTGTATTCAGTACAAACCAAAGCATTCCTGATAATACTGAAGAACTTCAGAATGATAGGCTAGTTTAGACAGTAGCTAATGGAACACTGTGAAATCTATGCAAACATTTACTTCAGAAAATCTGTACAGTAAAAATTACATATATGCACAAACCTATTTTTATTGATGACAACTTTTTCTGGTGATTAGCATTATGTATTTTATTAAGAAATGGAAAATATTTGCTATAATAAATAACTGTTTACAAAGTATATGTGTCTAATGTATCTTCCTTATCTACCTTAACAAGCTAATGAGAAAATGTTATGATTTTTAAGTAGGACACATTTGTCAATACTGAAGAAATACTTTTCTTTGTTTTTATTTTACTTTGTGTGGGATTTATTTCAGTTCTGAGTTTTTCTTACCCCTGGATTTTTAAATTTGGCACTGTCAGCTAAGTTGTTATCCCCCAGGTTAATGTCAGGTCATGTCTAAGAAGAAAGTGTTTGCCATCTCCTCTTTTTGCTGAAGTATATAGAAGGAAACATCAAAAATGATACCAACTCTCTACGATGAGTGCTCATGTTGCATCTAAAGTACAGCCTGGTTTGCCTGTATTCTTCAGCAGTTCTTGTGTTCAGATTTGGTCTTCATGATTGGGGTCCCAGACCAAACATCCATGCAGTTGGTGAGCTAAAGAAACACTTCCTATGTATGCCAGGAGTTCGTTGATTAGAATTTGAAGACCTTAACAGAATTATTACTAGTCCAGTTACTAGCACTTAACGTTACTAACACTTCAAGTCCAGATTACTCAATTACTACAAGTCATTCCCAATAAAGATACAGTTAGAACTTACACAGTAACTTTTCAGTTCTCTTGCTATGTTCACCCTTCTTCTTGGTTCTAATGTTAATGGTGTTTTCTGGAAGCTGACAACTTGCCTCCAGCTGCTGATAGCCACTGTCTGGGCCTAGCTGTTCAGCCAGCTAGAAGTAGCATTTGGTCTCTTCTGGCCTTGGGAACCTCTCTCAATGGACGTGATCTTACAGTGACATCAGCCAGCTCCCTCAGCCCTCGTGGGTGCAATCAGTCAGGCCCCATGGGCTTAGGATGTCCATCAGGTGGTCCTCCTGTGAGGGCAAGTCTTCCTTGCTCCAGACTTTCCCTCTAGTCTCAGGGGTTGTGGGTACAAGAAGGCTGATCTTACACGTGCTGCAGGAGCACTTGTATTGGTCTGCCTGATAATTGTGGCCCATAGGCTTTTGACTGGCTCCTGAGCAGTCCCAAGGCAGAGCTCCAGCTGCTCTGGTCTCACATGAAGTGCGATAGCCCCTCTTTGCCTTCACAGCCTGTGCTTGCTAAAGACCCTGTATCTATCCATTGTGGTACACCAATCACATGTGCTGTGCCACCACCTCTTTGTGATCCCAAAGAGGTCACAGCCCTGCCATTACAGACAGACTTCCACTTCCCCTGTCTGTCTCCCATGTTGTGTGCATTGCTGTAGAGGCGTTGCAGCAAAGCACCCAGGTGTGGCAGTTTCCTAGAACAGCAGAACATGGCTGTTCTGCACGCACTTCTTTGCACATCTGTGCTCAAAGTGATTCTACTTCAGCTGCCTTTTGTTGATTGCCATGTCCCTTCTGAAGCCATTTGCTTACTGATGCCATCCACAACTAACTTGTTTGTTGAGGAAACTTGGCTGACCATGAGAAAACTCACCAAAGATGACCTGAAATTAGTGTGTGGGGATAATCTTATCATTTAATAACACAATTGTGTCATTTTCTTGAAATGGGGGAAAAAAAATTTTTCCTGAAGAGAGACTGTGTGTGTGTGAGGGAAAATATGTCCAAGTCGTCATGTATTCCTCACAATACGTCAAAAAGTGAATACTCCAGAGAAACTGAGTTTAAAATGAAAAATACTAGATCTAGAAAGCGTTCATCAGAGTTGTTAGAGGATTTTATAGCTGTTCTTAAAGTGACATCTGGGGATACCACAGACAACTTCTAATTTTCACCATCTAACCATATAAATAATGCTCAGGTTCTTTTCTAATGAGTACTAAGCTCCCTTGTGAATTTCCTGTGCAAGTGATGTGTAGACATTGCCTGCTGTTCGGGGACCAGCTAGTGGCAAGTGTATTTAAAACATAAGATGAGAAAAAAATAATGAAAATGCTTCCAAAAGTTTCTACAAATAATATTGCCTGAATGTGGAATAAATTATATAGCCAAAGCTGTATGTGACCTATTTACCAGATACCAGGCATCACTTGGGCCAAGATAGCTTGGGTCACTCTTTGTCTGTATGTATGCATGTGGAAGAACTCAGTATTTTAAGACTGAGATGGAGTCCTTTGAATCCTTTATCCTTTGAATAACTGACACAGTGATTCAATAACACAGATTCAAATTAAAATTCAGCTATGAAATTCATAATGATGAAACGTACATATATACTATATAAAATACCTGGTTTGACTTCAAGCAAGGGCTATTGCGTTTGCGTATCAGTGTTTGGAAGCTCGGAAAATTTGCTTTCGCTTGTCAGTGTAAAATAATGTATGTTTGACATAAATGAAGTACAGGGTAGTGGAAAATACTGGCTTACTAGCAGCACCTGGTGAAATTAGCAGAGCAGACCTCAGTGGGACAACCATAAGGCTTGTTGTTACTTTGAATGTGTGTCCATTGGGAATGAAACTTGCCACTGTACTAATACTTGGATTTACAGAATTGTCCCTTTAACTTTCTTAAATGTCTTCAATTCACAGCAACTTTCGACCCTGCATCTTTAGTCACAGTCACCTTGAATGTTAGTGAATAGTAGTACTTCTTCTGAATTAAGAGGAAAAGTGCATTTTTTTAATATAACAATAGACAGTAACATAGTGATATTGATAGATGCTGCACACTCATAAAGGAATTAGCTAAAAACCAACTTAAGGTTAAGAGGAGGAGTGTCCTTCCTTGTTCTGTTGCATAAGATACTGCCCATTATTAGTAAATTACTCATGAAGCAATGTATGTAAAGATTGCTTAAGAACCTACAGTGTTGATTTTTTGTAGAATTTATGGAGAATTATTTTGCTAGGAAAAATGGGAAGAATAGTAAGTTGATATTTTGTGAATTCATCTATACTGTGACTTTCGAGGAGGATGACTAGCTGCAGATGAATGCTGCAGGCTCTCCTGTGACCACTAAACATATAATTTGGGAAGTGGCAAAGCATGGTTGCTGATTCAGACATGAAAAAAATGTTATCATCGCAAATGCAACCAACATCTTTCTCTTTGTTAATCTCTTATTTCTGTAGTTCTCCATCATGTACATCCCTGCTACTCACTAGGCATTCCTTCTTCCTCCTGGAGAGCTGCTGTTGTCAAACTTTAATAGTTCTATTCCGACTCAATATTGTCAAATAAATAAAATGCATATATTAGTAGAGTTTTTAAAGGCGAGATTAGTTACCAGTGCCATGTGTTCTAAAAGGTAGAATAGTGCTATCTGCATAAGATGCAATGTCAGGGATAATTATTTTCAATATCAATCTCTAAAATAGAAACCCTCAAGCACCTTCGCTCTTGTTGGCATTATAGACATGGATTCATTTTTAATTCTGCTTTTTTTATTCTTTCTGAGTTAGAGTCACAACAAGTCTTTTAGCCTTAATCATCAAAGCTATTTCCCTACTGAATAATCTTTACTTCAGTAATATTTTTTCTCTTGCAGACACCAAACTCATTGGCTCTCTCTGAGGTATAATTTATGTGTCTTTTAATTAGCAAATTCATCTGTACTGTACCAAAATAATTAATATTTCTGTCTCACTTTTCTCTTGCAGTGTCATTATTTTAAGTGGTATTAGTTAAAATGTCAAAATCAACATTGACACTATTAAAAAATAGAAAACTATGTTGTCTGTGGACAATTGTGTAGGCAGTTAGAGAGACCCTTGAAACGGAGCAAATGAAATGCTTAAAATGAAGGGATTTGGGACCAACTTAATTTTGCCTTCATCTCGCTGCAGTGGCCGCTGGAATTTAAGCACATGCTTATGTGGTTTGCAGAAAAGGGCTCTAAACCAAACTAACATTAAAAAATTGTCATTGGCTGACTGCTACCACTTGAATGTTGTTTGGCAGCACCTCTCTTGCCCTACTGCTGCTAACTGGCTTGTGGAAGAACACAAACCAGGCAGAACTGCTGAGTTGGTCTAACATCTCTATTGAGTTAAAACTAGTATCACACGTGCATAACTGAAGATTATATTTCAGTCCTTTCCTCATGATCACCAAATAAAAGTTAAGCTTGCCTGTGACTATATACGTAGGTCACTTAAGTTCTAACAACTGCTCATTTTCAGTCTGTGGGTGAAATAGTAATAGTGAACCAAGTAGAAAATCCCATGGTCATCTTTTCTGTGCATTACAGAGTAAAAAGCAGTTAAGCAATCTAGTTACAGAGTTTCAGGTCATTCTTAATTGTGCGAAAATCTGTTACCATTTAGCTGGTAATGCAATAGTAATAGTCTGTCACTGGATCTAGCCACTCAAAGCTTGAGTAACCTGAATGCACTTCAAAAAAAAGAAGGCAAAGAAACCAGGTGATTTTACTAAGGGTGCACTAATCTTATATTAATTTGACAGGAAGTTGCATTTTCCTTTAAGATTTTATCCAAGACAAGGTTCACATGTTTTAACGAAGTAGGGAAGGGTTGGGTTTGTTTCATTCCAAGCAATGATGATTTACCTCGGGTTGCCACTTTTACCGGTGTGATCTGCATGCCAGTTTTTGCATAACAGAGG